GCTACAGGCTCGGTTAAATTAATGATAAAATAAGGAGAGTTTTTTAAGGATTTTAAGTGAATCTGTGATGGGCAGACCTGTATATCTGTGACATTCTACGCCAGATTTACTGTTCCTGGCACAGCTGCTTTTTGTTTTCCATTGTGCAGATAATTTTCAACTCTAAGCAGAAACATGAACTTCTTTGCCATGGTTCACTTGCAATTTTACCATTATATTGATACTGCAAGCAGACTGAATCCTCAAACTCCTGCAGAAGGAGGCAGGGAATAGATCCACAGACCTCTTTAAAGGGACAGCTTTGATGATTATAACTATGATTTTTCTCTGGTACTAGCTAATTGACGTAACAATAAGGCATAAAGAAAAACTTTAAGGCATGTGGGCAAAGCAGATTTCATTTAGCTTGTTATTTTAAAGAAAATGCTTTATCCTCATATGCGACACAGGCTTCAATATAAAATTTCCGAAGTGTGAAAAAAAAAAAAAAAGTCAGATTTATACTTACTCTTCTTTGAAGTGCAACTGTTTTGAGCTCCTACATTGCTCAGCCTCCTGTTATTGCCTGCAATCATTCTTAGTCTTATGGCAAAACTCACCATTCAGAGGTTATGTGACAAGTTCAGCAGATTAGGTTAATAATCACGAGACCTTAAACAAGTCTATCTAGATTTCCCTTTATTTGAATTTAGGGCCTTCTTTCTCAAGCTCTTTTTTTTTTTTTTTCAACAAAGAAACTAAAATTCCTCCATAAACTCTAAAATCTACACCGTTACTAATCATGGAACTCTTTGAAGTGGCACTTAAGTAAAAATATCAACCATGGTAAGACTCGAAATAAAAGCATTAGCTTGAAATATGCCTCTCTTAAAGCGCTAATCAAACGGCAATCTGAAATGGCATTACCGGGTAGTGACGCAGGACACATCCTTATGTACGTGGCCATTTGGAAATGTGATCTAACAGCAGCAGAATAACAGTATCTACTTGAAGGTAAAGTCCAGATAAAACAGGTTGGTAGATAAGAGTATCTGGCTCTACTTGGCTCAAACCATGCCTTCTAAAGCCAAGTAAGATACATTAAAAACTGTGGTTTATGCAAAATGTCATTTTTCAGACAACCCCCCCATATCTTTAAATTTCCATGTGGGACCTGGGATGGAAAGTTCCCACAGTAATGGATTCTGGTCTTGGAAATTTGGCTTACGGTATCATTGTGCTTTAAAATGGTCAGAAACTGCGAGGACGCTGTAAGTGAGGAGAGATTTAATAGCAGAAAAGTGAAGGAACAGATGGTCTTGTGAATGAAGAATAGGCGTAGGAGCATGGGCTTCTATTATTTTATTAACCACTTACTGTCAATACAATCATGAGTTCTTCAGCTTTCAAAATACTTAAGAAAAGCTTCCTTGCTTACTGAAGTGGTTAATAGCTCAGAAAAGACCTTTGACATCTTTAGAAGACTTTCAGTTTAACTCATTTCCTCTTACTATTACAGAGATACAGCCATAATGCTCATCAGCTAAAACTTTCTTAATGTCTTCTTAATGTCAGGGTGATAATGTTTACAGTGAAGAGTTTTGCTAGACTTCTGTCTGAGTTCCCATCCAAACCAGAAAAAAATGTAGACAGAACATAACATGAAAGATCCTTTCTTTCCTTTGATCAATTTTAGCAGTAACCAAAATGCCCTATGTCTTCTGATCAAGGAAAATGACTAGACCTCTCCAGGGCCTGTCAGAAGAGCTTAGATGACAAGCTGTGACTGAGTAATCTAAAATCCCACTAATACTTTGCTTGTTAGAAACCAAATGAAAATTCAGAATTTTTGGTGCATCTTTCAATGCAAACAGCTTTTGTGACAGATATTGAACTTTTAACCGTACATGGGAGAGAAGTAACAAAGAACATCACAGAAATTTAGCACAAAAAAAAGATAATGAACAATAAATTGAACTTTTTTTTTTAAATCAAGCTGTCATTTTACTAATTATCCAAGCAATTTATGGGCGTGTTCAGTTACTTTATATGTTGAGTAGCTAAAAATTGTGACAGCAGCATTCCCTGTGAAATCATTTTCCTGGAATGGTTTTTGATAAATACCAGATTGCTTCATTTTCTTATATGAATAAATTCTTTACATGAAAATACTACAAGGCATCAACATCAAATTCACAATACTTTGGATGGAAAAAAAACACAGAGAATCGTCAAAGTTTTTGTTGTTTTTTGTTTTGTTTTTAATATCAACGTCTTTAAACAGAGCCACAACTTTAAAAATATTTTACATATTTCCTCTATGCAAAAAAAAATAGAAACAAGCTCTGAAAAGTTTTAGTTGATAAAAATTCTGGTACTGCCTTTAAAGGTGTTCTCATAAGAATCTTGATGAAAACTCATCATTTTTGTTAGACATGAGTATTTATTTCGTTAAAAAATCTTTTTCAACAAAAAAAAAGGTTTTAGAAGTAAACCAAGCTGTTCTTTCTGCCCAGATGTATATTGCATCCAAGCAACATGAATCAAGTGTAATTTAAGGATAATGTATCTGTTTGGCTTTCAAATAATATTTTGCAGATAATAATCTGTTAAGATATTTATTTCTATTAGCACTTACTGCAGCTCTAGGAGATATACGAAGACCGTTTAGGCTATTGCTAATAACATTGTTAGCAAAGTACAGGCTGGTAAAGGAACACTTGGCCCACACCATCACCAAACCAATAGTGGCTGCACATTTGGACTTGGACTTTCTTGAAGAAGGGCCTATTTTTGCAAATTGGCAGAGGGAAGTCATCTTCCCTCTGATGAAAATTGCAAATTGGCAGAGGGAAGTCATCTGTCAGCAGTAAAATATGTGAGTAGAAAAAGAAAAGCCGGAATGCATTGGACTCGCAGAACCAGTTTGAATCTCTTGTAGCTCGTTATTCCAAATAGATGCAGCTAGACTTTGACTTGCAACCACAGCCAAAAACTTGACGGCTTGGCAAAGGAAGGCCTCATGCAGCTTGCTGTAACAGGAGTCACACCAGGTATGCTAAAGGAATTCCTCAACATCCATAATAATGAACATCTGCTCTTCAGTGAGCAAGAAATACCTCTCTCTCCGTAAGAACCATAGATGGTCTCGCGCACTCAGCTTTGAGTTTCTTTCCAGGCACAAAGCTGTGAGTTAGAAATGTTAGCTCCGAGCTGTCCTTTAGCTCTGGGATAAGAGTTGTGAAGACACCGGTCGCTGCCCCAGAGTGGGTTGGATGCAGTGGAGGAAGGTGCTTTCCAGGACAGAGTATTTGGACTGTCCAGAGTATGGAGAGGGACATTGCAGCGGCTCTGCAGCTGGTAATCAAATGGGGGGAACACAGCTGCTTTGCTCCCACACTTCCCTGTACAACTTTACTGGCCTCACCCCTTCATCTGCCACTGGAAACTTTTGAAACCTTTGCAGTTTAAAGCCTTTGCCAGGCAGGCAAACTAAGACAGGCAGGCAAACTCTGGAAGAGCAGGCTGGAAGGCAGATTTTCACAGACCAAGGCTGCCCAATATATTTCCTGTTGTGCAATGTCTTTTTAAAGCAAGCTCCAGAGGGCATCGGGAAAAAGTATTAGAAGGGAGTTTTACAGAGGTTGTCTCTCCTGGCAATTATCCTTGTTATATTTGAGCTCTGTGCCTTTAGGCTGAACTACACACTACAACACAGTAAATGTCAGAAGTGTAAATAAACTGGGACACGTATGAGTTCATCTGTTTTGAGACATTCTTATAATATAGAAAGATGTGTAGAGTATGATTGCAAAGACCAGCTCTAGTCTAATTTTGTCATTCACTGACTCCAAAATGTTGCCAGCTTTTATAAGAGCGACGTATGTATAACTTGTTTTCTGGCAACTGAATAGTAGTTGTTTTGCAAATCTGAAACGCTCCTTCAGAACAAGGTTTTATTAGTTGGCTTTAGGCATGAGGTAGGTGCTATCTGAACACAGGCCTAGTAGTTAAACTGCTGTGTCCTTCATGCTGCTAAGCACAGAATTCAAGTAATTTGTTTATTCCTTTAGGCGTGGTGTATCAATAATGCTGAGTAAGGAAAATGATAAATTGATAATAGAGGACCTACACTGCCACTTCATATCCAACTGATATGTATTACTGTTATAAAGCTATTGCTACTGCTACAGTTATTGCTACAGAATAATGCATAGTCCAGGACAAATAATTACAAAAACCAGAACATCAACCATAATTGTATCTTTGTTACAGTCTTGAAGGAAGAGGGTAAAAGTTTAAAGTAATTTCTCAGAACAGAGTGATTTTTAGAGCCATTTTGAGAAAAGGACATTGCTTTTGATGGTCTTTTTTTTCAGATAACAGGAAGATTTTAGGCTCCAGTCCTGTCCATAATGATGCTGTTTCAAAAGAAATGCACATATTAAAAAAGAAAAAACAAGAAATAAAAGAAAAAAAGAAAAAAATAGAAAAAATAGAGAGAGAGAGGGAACCTGGGCATTTTTGCCTACATTACATTTTTAAGTTCATTCTTTTTCATTTCAAACATTATAGTATAAGTGAACTGATTCAGAAAAGATAACAACTCAGATTAAAGGGAAACGTATTTGGAAGCTGAAAAAACAAAAGTAATTTTGCATGTATGTTTGCTTCCTACTCTAACTGAAAGCAGAAACATCAAACTGCTGTGGGGAAGTCCTGACCAAACTTGAGAAGTAACCTGCAGGCTTTCAAATGTTGAGTTCTGTTTCTAACATAGGATAAATTAAGCATCTAATATTTGCAGATACAAAAAACAAAGCAAAACAAAACTGAACTGGTTTGGCAGACAATTACAACAAGCGTAAACAACAAAATAATTGCTAGTCATATATTGTTAAGTGATATCAAGAGTATTTTTGAATGCACAACAGACACATATAATCTCAAAAACAGACCTACAAATGACAAAATTACTATGAATACTACATGTTCATTAGGCAAAAAAAAATCCTCCTTACCTGCTATTGCTTCAAGACTAGGGATTGCAATAGTGCTGTATGTGCTAATGCATTTGCAGGACCACGTGCTAACTACAGTTTCTTCAGCATTTCCCAAGCCTGGCAAGCTGTCCACGAAGAAAGAGCCCCACTGTTCAGATACAGGGCAAGGAACTTTGGGAGGATGTCCCTGAAAAAAAGAAGAAGAAAAAGATAAGTATGTAAGCTTACAAAAAATATTATATTTTCCTTCCTTTCCTTCCAACCACAAATACTAGTTTAGAAAGTCAGTATTGTTTCTCTGGTTTTCTGGGGAAACTGTATGACGCCTCAGGAGCAATGTGGCTTAAAAATACTGTGGAAGAAAACAATAAAAATCTTTTCCTGAGAAAGCCCCAAAACGCTGTTTGTGCAATTTATTGATTCCCTACAAGGTATAAAGTTGTCTTTAAATATTTTTCCCTTAAAAATATTTTCTTCATCATGTATTTTTTTTTATCTAGCATGACAGCATGAATGGCTTGCTGCCCTTCTCTGCTGGAGAAGCTGGGTAGCCATGGCACAAGCTATAGCCCCACTTGGAATTTTTTGCATGGGAAAGGAATCTACTATATGCTGAATGGCAGAGGGACGAAATGCAAAGAAGGTATTATTTCAAATGTATTATTATATCTGCTTCTGAGCAATTAAAAAATGAGAATGAAGTCACAGCATCCATGGAGAGTCATTCACTTGGCTAGAACATTAGGAAAATTTGGTATTTTTTCATGTATATTTTTAGACATCAACATGTAGACTCATTATGTTTTAAAGAAAGTAATAAAGCGGCATTGAGAAAATTTTTTTTTTGCAGTTCATCTTGAAAACCCCTATACATTCCCATGAGCAGCGAAAAAAAAAACTCCAGAAGCCTCTACTGAAAGATTAAAAAATGGAAAACAAATCTGCAAAGTACACTACAGAAAATCTGCTGAAGTCATTTGTGTGCAAAGTATATTTTCAGACCAGCAAAGTGCAGAACAGATATCCTAGCCTGTGCCTCCAGATTCATGAACTTTTGTACTTCTTTTATTCATTCATCCCCTTTCTTAATAATTTGTGCTAAATGTGCTAAAATAATTCTTGTTTATGACAGATGTCCTTGGTCTTGATCAAAACAAAGCTGCAAAAATTCAACAGAACAAAAACAAACTACAGTTTTTTTTCCTAGCGATTCTGAGCAGCCATTCTTATTCTGAGTGTAGTTATATTTTTGCAGAGAAAGAACTAATTTGGACAAATGAAGATACTATTTTCTGTCTGAAAACAGATTGGAAAAACACCCCATAGTTTTACTTTCAAAACAGCAGTTAACTTACGAGTTGGGTTCTTCGTTTTTTTTTTTTCACATACAAGAACATGCCTTATTTTTTTTTTTTGCCAAATCTTACTTTCCATGCAAATCCCAGGACTTTACATCAGTTATAACTCAATGTAGATGCTATGCTGAATTAAAATCCAGTTGCCAGCTGGATGACACATGCAGAAATCTCTTAAGACAATACCAGCTGTTCAGATTTTTAAACAACAACAAAAACACTGGCCCACACAAGCATTTGGATGCATGATGGGCTCCTGTTTACTGACAAGAGTAAACAGCACAGTCTTCTTTCTTTTGAAATAGTTACGATTGGTTCAACAGGCAAATAAAAATCACAGTGTGAGAAAACAAACTGATTTTTTCAGAGGCCCGATGCTGGCAATTTCTTCATGGTCCTCATAAGCAGGAAGAGGATAAAATTAGAAATTACAGCCCATGTCTTTAATAAAACCAACAGTATTAAGTATCAAATTGCCATCAAGTCACCTGATATAGCACTTTTATTATTTTGCTGCTGGCTTTTCTTGCCATGACACAGGTTCTTTAATAACTAGGCTACACCTAGGACTCAAATCCAAAAACAGCTGTTGAAGCTTCCCCCAACAAAATGCCCCTGGAAAGCATCTGATATAATTCCCTCTGTCATTCTGCTGCCTCCCAAAGATTTCCTCATCACATATGAAGCATACATAGCCTATAACCAAGGCTAGACCATGTACTGCAAAGTCTGCAAAATTAGACTGGAGCTGTTTGGCAAAATCCCTACTCTTTGCACAGCTGGATATATGCAGATGTACATGCAGCCGAGCAGCTCTGGTCACTGCACCACCAGATCTTGCAGAGCCCAAATGCAGGTTTGCTCTGGCTGCAGGACAGAAAATGCTAGGAAGTGCTGAGCCATCCCTCCTCCGTATGCAAACCTTTTGCTCTCAGGTCTATCAGTCAAGCAGTACCAGGAGGTTAGATGTTGACAGTGTCAGTTCAGGTGACACAACCTCAAAGACTGAGTCTAGACCTCAGAGGAGTAATGAGGTTACTGCTGATCCCCAAGTCCCAAGCTTTTCAGTAACTTAGGCCACCTGGAATGCTTACTATCACTTTTACTTTAATAACTGCAGACAACTAGGGCCTGTTAACAGAACAGGCAGAATCTGTTAATAGGGCCCTCGGGTAACAGTAATTTGTCTGCTTACCAGTGGCCTATTTAAAATTGAAATAGGTGTGAATAGGAGGTGAAAGAAAAGAGAGCACAAATGAAAAATGCAGCTGAGGAGTCTTGTGCGTCTTCACATCTTTTAAAGGCATTTAAATGGAGATTTGCCATCCAGGCCATCGTCTTTGCACCAAGTGCAAGGCACAAGGATTGCTCTCCTGTATACTGCATAATCTTGCATTCGCTATCATGGATGGTACTGATGGCCACAGTGATGGCCAAGTGCTTTGTGCCACTAAAACCACTTACTCTCAGAAAAAATAAAGTGTAGTTTTGCCTGTACCACTGCAAATATTCGATGTGTTTCTGCCAGCACAGCTCTGTTGATAATGGGTCATGGCAAATGGATGTCCCTATAGAACACAGCTACGCTGGGCTGGGCAAGCAGGCAAACCTGCTGCTCGTCTACCTTTTCTGTAGACCCTTCTCCCCACAATCTGTGAGTTTACATAAAAGATCTCACCACTGATCATTATAGCTAAATTAAAGCATGGATCACTATAAGCAGGCTTCCTTTAAAAAAAAGATAGTGATCAGATCCAATTATAAACTAATAAAATGCATTTCACTCAGGGATATTCCTTTATGGATACTGCTTATCTTATCAGGCTTCATGACACGCCATCAGGTTGTTTCTGAAAGTGCTATTAGATATGTGTTAAAGATAAACAAAAATAGAGAGATAAATAGAGCTAAAAGACACAGAGTAATTGGCCCTTGTCTGATGTCACTTAGAGGGAGTCCTGGAAAAAAAAGGTACTCAAAGGACCTGATTTTCCCTACCATGCAGCCACAAGACAGTAATGGACAAAGAAATTTACACCCAGACTAGCTCCTCTGTAATCATTTCCCTCAAAATCCTGGGATGAATTCCAGCTTTTCTTAGAGTTTTCATTGATGAAATCGATCACACATTTAAAAAGCAGAGGGAAAAAAACAAAGCATCTAGCGAAGCAAGCAAACCCCAAATCTGGGGGGAATCTAGTTTCGATGCCTTTTTTTTTTTTCTGTATTTTTTCCCTGCCTACTGCATTTAAGAACTGAATAATTGCATGAATGGTTTTAGTCTGCGAATCTCTTGCCCATTTGGTTATGACTCACATACTTGAAAGGACTGCAGTTGTTGCCATAATTTCACAGCTATGTGTATCTGGTTTGGATCATGCCCTCAGTTGAAGTGGAAAGGACAAAAAAACTACTAATGAAAATGGAAATTACTAGTCTTAGTTTGTGGAGGTTGTGTGAGGAGGATGTTTCCTTCTTCTCTCTCTTTTAGTGATGAAATACAGCACATATAGCTGAAAACTGTTTTTTTTGGTAATTTCTTTATGACAGATACAACTGTAAATTTGCGGTAATACTTTATTTTTTAATATTGTATGGCAAAGATTGGTAGAAGGAAGGACTGCATCTTGCATTAAATTTTCGGACCCTCTTGCCATATGCTAAATGGCATGCACACTCGGCAACAGTATTTTTATTTTATTAGCAACAAATAGGAAGGCTAACTAATAATATTAAATCTAATCTGCTAGTGCCTGTTTTTTAAAGCAGCTACTTTGTACAAGCCTTTGAATTGGCTTTTCTCCCTTTTTAACCAAAGGGTTAATGGCTGATTAAGGGAATAAAACTAAAACGTCCATAGGCTTGCGAAGGGAATCTCTTTGAACTACTCCTATTAAGTCAGTGGTGTCCAGTCAAGTGCAGAGATATGGATGTGACCTGTTGTGCAGACTCCAGGGAGCAGCGGGGTAATGAAATAACACCACTGACCTACCGAGGCCCCTTGCTTCGCGCTCCTTTAATCAACGCAATTCATTTCTCCCGTGCTTATCTGCTGTCACTGGTGGCGGATGTAAACCGTGCGGAGGGTTTGTGCGGCAGACACGGTGTCTTACCGAGCTACCACAATCTGTTACCAGGCTCAGCAAAATGTCAAACCCCTGTCTAAAAGACTCAGTTTCCCGCTTGGTAGCTACAGCAAGAGAGAGGGTGGATCTGGGGAGGAGTTCAGCAGAGCTACTGCAATCAGATGAAACCAAATCACCAACAGGTGCTTGGAAAGAAGTTAACTCAGTAACTTTTCTATTGTACTTTCAGGGAAAGAAACATGTACTGGTGATTTGTTTAAAAATGTACGCTTCAGAAGCCTATATTTAAAATGCTTAAGAAAACATGCTTTAAAAAAACAGAACCCAAACTTTACAGGGATGTAAGTTCTAAGCACTAAGGCAGCAGAGTTTCCAGTCAGAAAAAGGCTAAAATTATAGAGAAGAATGTTAAACTGTTTCCCCAAAAAGTATTGGGACTCACTGTAATTCCAAGAGCCTCTCCAGCACTCATTCTCTACAGATTATAAGAGATTAAGCATTCTATTTAGCATTAAAAAGAAAATATGGAAAGTTTTAAGAATAGTAGGATACTAAGAGAATAGATTTCTTATTCTTATTATGGGGGGCAAATTGGCAGAGGTACTTTGCCAAAGCTGCTATTTTTCCTAAATACTCAATGCAGGAGGTACAACTCCACCAAAGTGCAATTCCCTATCATCTACTCTGTTCTTAAGCAGCAGAAAGAAGAATAACATGTAATACAAATTTCACCTTCCATGGGAGAACTGAATAGTGACAAAAGTACTAGAGCTAATTAAAGGCCTTGCTTCTCAACTGCAGTCAACCTAAAAACTACATTATTTATCTAGGATAACCCTCAGTAGCCTGTAGCTGACCTCTCTTAGAAGCTGTTCCTCTGGTAAACAGAGTCACACGAACTGTGAATGTTCAGGCGATGAGTTTGCGACAAGCAGTGGTAGAGTTTCACCTTGTGGGATGCAAGGTAGGTTTTGCTTACTGCAGAGGATAAGACTGTATCTTTTTGGCTAAAGAAAAACACACCTCCCACCTTTTTTTGTGTTCCATAATTGGGCTTGGTTAGGGTAATGAAGACTGTGTCTCATCATTAGTGCCAAAAAATGAACTCTTACAATGTCAAGCGTGATGGCAACATCTTGGTGTGACTATGAGGATGTGCCTAGAAGAGACCCCAACACTGCCTACAGTCTTGTTAGATGACCAGGGTTCTTCTCAGTGCAGGTGGCACTAGGCTTTTCTGTAACTTACTTTCTTCTACTCTAGGAAACAGCTGCGAGAAATTGCCTTACCTCATATTTTCCTTTCTTCTCCAAGGGCTCAGATTCAGTCTCCGCAGGCACCATAACTTTGTCCCCTAGAAGCTCCTCTAAGATGAAGACAGTTTCCCAGTTGCTATAGTGACGAGCTGGGAAAATATCCGAGTGCATGCTGTCACCAAAATAAACAACCTACGAGGGAAGCAGCAAATTAAAAGTTCTTTGTATTGAGAAAAACAAGCAAGCCGTATTTCAAAGACAGGAAAAAAAGAGCTTTAAAGCAAACTAATAAAAATTCCTTCATGTTTACAGCTGGCCACAACACACATATCTTATTAATGCTATAGTCTTGAGTTTTGTTTTTCCTTTTTTTTTCCAATCAGCTCCCTTCCAGCTTCTCCATAAATAAAAAGGCTAGCCCTGCAGACCTTCGTATTCGACCTGCCAGTTCCAGGTTTGGGACTGACACACAGGACAGCACTGAGGTTTTTGACGGACTGCAATAGCCTGCCAGGAAGCAGTAGAAAAGCTTAACAAGAAAATATCCTAAATAAATGGAATGCATTTTGGATGGCTCTGGAAGCAAAGAAAAACACAGCATCTACTGCTGATTCAGAGCTCTTTGATACCTATGTGGTATTTTACTCATTAGGACCAATGTGCTCCTGCAGTCTTCACTGGCATTTGCTCCCAGCCTGCACTGCAAATGGGGAGATAAAATGATCCTAGTTTTCACTTATGCCACTTTTTCATCCAACTCTCTCCTCGGAAAAATTATAGAAAAACACTTGGTAAACTGGGAGATGATGAAGATGCAGGCATCTTTAGCATATGCCGATGCAACTTTTTTTCCACACTTTTTTTTATAGCAGAAGCAGCTACATCCCCTGACATCCTTTTAGCAAAAAGTCTATTTACTAAGACCTAAATAGGAAATACTATGCACTGGGAAAGGTGTACAGTGAGTTAAGAAAGAAGTGTCTCACCTTGTGCAGCGACTGACCATCTATGTAAATGCTAGCTATGAGGTGGAATGATCAATTCATCATAAAAGTGCAATGAAATTTCTCAGTCCAGGGGATGGAGAATGCAGTCAGATGTGACTGATCACATCACTAACCTTAATGCAAGCTGATCTGGTGAACTTTTAGACTGAAATAGGATGTTTTCAGGAAAATTTGGCCATATTTATAACATACCTTGGGGTCCAACTTGCCAGTCATCTTCTTCAGTAGTTCATAAAGATGGATAGCATTACCTTGGGAATACCAGCCAGGCTTATCTAGGGATAACAGAGCCTCCTGCTCTTCATCATTCTCTGAAATCACCAAGCAAAATCATCTGCTGTTAATGACAGTAGCACATGCTCTGGTATTTGTGAGACATGTGAGAAATGGCATGTTCATAATCACAAGACATTAAAACAGTGCCAGCATCTGGCATGAGCTTCAACTCCATATTCTGACCACAGGTTCAGTCAAAGTAGAGACTGCTCATGTACAAAGAGGGGCAAGTAACACGTGACTTTGTTTATTATTATGTTCAGGAAGCAGGAAATAAATAGTGAAACGTGTGAGAAAAGAAGCACCCAAGTCTCTTCTGCAGGATCTGTAGAAGAGCAGGTGAAGCAATGTGATGATAGGCTTCACCTCCCAGATATTTTACCAGTGAAGGTAGAAAACCACACAGATGAGAATGATGGAGATGCTGCCACAAATGAAGGGAGAATGTAAGGAGGATGGGGCTAAACTCTTCTCCATGGTGGCCAGTGACAGGACAAGGGATAATGGTTACAAATCAAAACATAGGAAGTTCCACCTCCATGTGAGGAAGAACTTCTTTACTGTGAGGGGACAGAGCCCCCTCTGGGAACAGAGCCCTGGAACAGGCTGCCCAGAGAGGTTGTGGAATCTCCTTCTCTGCAGATCTTCCAAATTCGCCTGGATGCCACCCTGTGCCCCGTGCTCTAGGTGTCCCTGCTGGAGCAGGGGGGCTGGACTGGATGATCCCTAGAGGTCCCTTCCAACCTTAACCATTCTGTGATTTTGTGATCTAAGGCGAAACCATGAGGTTTGACAGACCATAAGCAACATTGTGTACCCTTCCTCATGGGGAGAATAATGGCTACTCTTAACACCGACATAAACAAAACAAAACAGGTTGAGGTAGTTCTGATGACATCAGACAACCTTAGATCAGAACAAACAACAAGTAGTTCTGGCTATCAACCAGTTCTGGAGAAATGGTGAGCAGATGATATTGCTGCTGACAATGTAAACTTTCTATATATATTCACACTGGCAGCTGTCAGCTAACCACAAAAAAACAGTAGAACCTGAAACTCTGTGGTTATCAACTGACCGTGACATAAGCTTGGTTTCTAGCTGTTTTTGAGGCAGCTGCATCTGTCCTGCCTATTTAACTTTATTCATTCAGGTCCATGTGCTACTGCCAGATGAGCTCCTTTCAGCTTCAAGATGGAGCCAAAATATTAGCCCTAGTGAAATGGTAAGCTGGGTTTCCCTCAAAAATATTAATAGCTTCTCTATCAAAGCAGTTAAACAAAAAGTTGATTGTGTTATTCAATCTCAATGAAACATGCATATTTTTACCCTGGTGAAAAGGGGGTACAAGCCTGTACAGTACTTCAGTCTGACTTAGATAGAGCACCAGCATTTAAATCTTTCTCCAGCTTTATACAACTCTTCAAAATACTTAAAATGTGTTAGGAAGAAGATTGAGACGGAGTGAGTAAACTTTGCTTGGTTGGAGGCTGCTGCAAACTAAAAGGTAAATTTTGGAAAAGCAGATAAATGACAAGATGGCTTTATGTTTAAGAGCAATTAAGATGTATATGGCACAGTAAATTGTTCCTTGAAGTAAGAAAAAAAGAGGAAGAAAATCTTTCTTTAATATTATGGATCTAAGAATTTGAATAAACACAAGATTTATTCTCAGACAAAACAGTTCTATATTAAGGGTGTTTTATAAACTAGGAAAAAACAAGGTAATTCAAAGTTGACACTAGCAACTCATGCGGAACTTATATCTTTGCCTTTGTTCTCCTGCAGTAATCTAACAACAACAATAATAATAAATGGTAACATCCATAAAAGAAAGACTCCCTCATTTTACATTTCCTGGCTTTTAAAATAGTTTTGACCAAACAGCTTTACATCAAAGATGTTTTCAAAAATTTTGGGGGGTATTTTTAGACATATTTGTAAGGCTGGCTGAAAAAGCAGACACAATATTCAAGCAACAGCAATATGTAAAAAGAGCACTTATCAAAACAAAACTCCTTTGAGCCGTTACCAAAAAGCTTCTTGACATTAGTAAAGGCACACACAGCTATCATGGTCCATGACTATGATCTGCCCATTCAGTCACTCAAGAAAAACAGAGCTGGTACTAGGGGGGCGGGCTGGAATAATAACCTTACTGTTGTATCTACAAATCATATGTATTACAGTACAGGAGGTTCCGGCAGAGAGCAGGACACTGCCTTGTTACCTCTACAGAAAGGCATGGGGCCAGTCCTGACTGAAAAAAAAAAACACTCTAATTACAAGGTAGAAGATCTCTCACTCTGTATGATACATCATTGTCACTCCTAGCAGCACTATTCATCTCACTTGATGCATTCGAAAGAGAGGTTTGTAATTTATAGCTAGAATCTAAATTATTTGGCTGGGCTCATTGGAATGCACCAGAGAGAGCAAGAAGCATTTTCTACAGATGCCAGCTCTGGCCACTGACTGTAGAAGGATAGTGATTAAACTAGGATCTTCACAGTTAAGTATTAGAAACTAGTCTCCCTTCCCTCCTCTATACAGAGAAGCATCAAACAGCATTAAGATGTTGCATTCATTATAGGAACACTCATTATGGGAACATTCATTTTGGGAACAATTTTGGAAGATGTTCCAGAAATCTGAAGAATTGGGGAAGGTCCCTTATGATATTTCAGTTATAGGGTTACAGGACTAATGGATCTTAACTTGCTTCCTGGACTACCTTGCATGTCTGCTTGTGCCCAGAGAGCTATTTTGTGACTGATATGTGGCTGATTGTGTCAATTTTATTGCTATAGTCTAAAACAGGAGCAAATTTGCACTTAATGGGGTTTCTGTTTCACCAGGTCATTAAGGAGAAGGGTTTCAAAGTCAGTTACAAATTTTTTTTGTGACCAAATATACTCATGAAAATTACTCTTTGGCACTGGCTTTAAGGCCACTTGCAGCAGTTTTGCCATGTAAAGATGAATATATAGTAGCTTAAAACACCCTAATGATACAATTTACTTTGAGATTGTGTTATATCCTTGAGACAGCAGATAAATGATCATACTCAAGAAATCTCTCTGGTGCCTGCAAAAAAGCTGCAAAATGTGATTTTGATAGTTCCTAATGTATCTTAGAGGTTCCAAGTGTAACATAGCTTACACTCAATCAGACAAGAGGAAATCTGTTCCTGACCTTCCTTCCATTTTGCTGTTATTGATTCCTGAAAGTTCATTCAGAGGTCAGAAATGCTATAAATATTACTTCTACAGGAAGAAACATATATACGTGGGGATGCTAATGCTTCAGGTCATATCAGATGGGAGGAAAGGGAGACGTCCTGACAATTTCAAACGGACTGGATAACCAAAAAGAATTTCTTAAATGATTTAGATTGAGTGACTTGCTTGCTTCTGAAGTCTAATATATCACTGCAACTTGGATTACTGGCTGCAGGCTGAAAACATGCCACAACATGAAATGTAAAAATATCATGCAAGTTAAATTAAAATAATTAAAACCAGAAAACGATTCTATTAACACACTCACCAAAACCACAACAGTGATTCTGGGCAATTTTCCTGAGGGGAAATTATTGCTCCTTTCTAATAACAACGAACGCTTCACTCATGCTGGGGCAACACTAACACCCCTGGAACGGCAATCTGCATACTGTGGTGTTTAAGAAGGAGGGAAACACATCCTGATGTAGAAAGCCACTCTGATCACCAAAAGCAGATACAGTTTTAACAATAAACCATTTCACTAACAAGTGTCCTTTTTCTTTAAGTGCCTTAAAATGTCAGTTACAGGTTTGTAACATGGAGTGGTTTCATTCTAAAAGACTATGCAGAAAATAATTGGCAAAGTTTATTCTCATATAAATGACAATCAATGACAAGTTACTTTGGCACAGAATTGCTCTCTGAGAAGGACTACACACACTTGCTTACTGCAGTGTGCTTACCTGTGTGTTCATTTGTTATACCAACCTGGATGGAAATCCAAATACATGAGGTTTTTAAGGTTATGTCCACACTGAGTGTTAAGCCCAGGATCTGAAGCTGTCCTTAGCCTGTCTGATATTTATCTTGTGTTAAAGCAACCCATGGGACAGGCCAGCACTGTCCTTCTTCCAGGACCTCGAAGTGAGTTTATGCTTCGACTGTTATCCATCTACAGTCAGTCGCACCTACACTGAGGTGAATTTTCATCAGGTCAACCATAAGGCAGACTGTCCCCTGTATTGCTTTCTACGGTAGGTGTCCATCAGACACAGGTGTGAGGACCTGCAGCTGGCTCATCAGTCCTGACAGCGCTGACCTCCTTGGCTGGGCCGTCACTGGGGAAGAGAGGAAACCCAAGTGCCAGCTGCAGTTTCTGTACAAATCTGCATAAAAAGGCTACTAGAACGACAGGCAGCTCTTACAGGCTCCCTCTACATATATGAGCGCAGCACAGATGTGAATGTGTGTTTAGCGCACTGAAGTCTCTGTTCAGACTTCAAGAGCCTGTTATAAAACAAACAAATATTACGATTCACTACTGTCATACCGATATACTTCTCTGCCTTTCAAAGTAATGCCATTTCAGATCTGGAGGACATTAATAAAAACGCTTTGGTTGTATTCCGAACTGGCTTGCAAGCACAGATAGCATTTCCAGGTCACTTAAGAAATACAAACTCTGCCTTTTGGCATGGGGTCCGGGCAGGAAACTGTGTTTTTTTACAGTGAACTGCAGGGAACTGCATAAGCAAAATACGTCCAGTGACTTCTTCCAGTTATAAAGGTAACGGGAGGGCATGGCAAAAACTGCAGCGTTCCCCTACGGATCATGACCTTTCTTAAGAAATTAAGTACTTATAAGGTGGCTGAGGGTAAAGGTTTACAGCATAGACACACCATAATGCTGGCTAGCAACCCAAATTCCTAATATAAAGAAACCGCCTTTCTTGACTGGCCGTCAGTTGGCTGCATGAATTCTGCAAGGCCACAGTGTCACTGGCTGGTCTTGTAACTCCTGCAGCATGTGTGGCCGAAAATGAATACGGC